GATGCATATCAAGCATGCAATCTGATCGATTGTCAAATTTCACGAGAATGATTGTTTACTATTAACTTCATATCGTCTTGATTCGTTTTCTAAAAAAAACAGGTTGATTGGCTTCATTATAATTGAATGTGTCACTTTTCAACACGTGTTTATGTACACTTGACGTTTTAAATATTTTGAATACCAAAGTAACCTTAATAATAAAAAGTTAATACTTTTAACGGATTTACTTTACTTTTATTATTAACAAGTATGTGTCAATATTTTTAAAAATGTAGTTCCAATAACAGAATAAATTTTTATTTTAGGGAGGAGGATCATATTTTAAACCAGTTCAAATTAACCTATTTAATAGATTTAATGCATTTTCTAGTCTAGCTTGCTATCTGATAGCACTTTGATAGTGAATTATTATATTTATGACAGTTATGTGGTAAAACTATCAACTTTATCTTAAAATTTTAGAAAAGAACTTTCATAAACAGAGGTTAAAAATTATTCGAATTTTTCGTGCACTGTTTAATTCTATAAAAGCAAAATAAATATATAAATAGATAATATTTCACATTATAAATATTCATTAGTCTAAATTCAAATTTACAAAAATTTTATTTTTATATACGTTTTAGCTATAATTTTAAATTTTCAAAAATGAGATTTATTAGTTATAGCTTGCAATTATATCTTTTTTCAAAATTCATAAATCAATAAATATGGTTAATTTATTTATAAATAAATACAACTGTAAGTAAATAAAATTTTATTTAGATTTAATTAATTAAAAATAATAAATTTAACACATAAAACACAAAATTTACAAATTTCAACAATTTTTTGGTAACTCGTCTTGAATTTTCGGTGCAAGAGAGCAAGTCACCCAAGAGTTTAAACACATCAGATTTCTAATTGATTCATTGTTTAATTTATTCCTATGTTTCCTAATCGTGAGAGAGCTGCGAGAAAAAAGCCTTTCTGCCGACACAGATGTTGCTTGGATGCAAAGAAGATCTCGAGCCATTCTTGCTAAATTTGGGAACTGTTTTTTATGACTGCGCCACCATTGTAAAACATTTTCTTCTTCGCTTGCACAACCTTGCGATAAATATATATCTATTTCTTTTCGCCAAAGCTGATTTTTCAACTGATTCCTTGATGTTTTCGTCTGAATTCCTTTATCACTTTTATTGTTCTTTTTAAATAACTTAAACAAATTGACCTTTCCTTCCAAAATTTCAACATTTTTAGTGTCGCTTGGATTGTATTCTTCAGTAGTCTATATAATTAAATGTTGTTAATAAAAAAATTTTCTTTTTAAGTTATATAAAAACGTAATTATTTTTTTTATTAATTTTTTTTGTTGAAATTTTCTAAAATTATTTTAATAATATTTATGTGCATTATAATATTTCAATGTATTAGGAAGATTAAATAAACGAATAAATTTGCAATTAAAATAGACAAACAATTTGACAATTGTTTGTTTTTGGTTTAAAATGCTTTTTTAGAATAATTATTTTTTTTATATAAAAGTGTAATTTTGAATTTGGAGTACATTAAAGTACAGTAAAAACTAATTTAAACTAATTTTTTTTTAATTAAAATTTAATGAAAATGTAGTTTAAATTTAATTAATTTATTAAACTTATTAAATTAATTTAATTTTAATTTAATTAAAAATTTAATCTTATTACCTCGGGTTTGTAATAAAATTTTTGATACATATCTTTGAATTTTTTAATCGATGTTTTTGCCATTTCTTTCCCCCATTCAGTTTCATAAAAAGATTCAACTTTAAATCTCGGATCCAAAATTAGGCTAGCGCAGTAGATCCAATTACTTTTCTCATAGTGTTTCATCAGTTTTGCCTTTGCAGCTTCCAATGCTTCTACTATGATGTCGTCGATTTCACTTCCGTCATTTTTTTCCGTTAATTCTGTAATCGATTCTTCGATTCCAGCGACAAGCATATTAAATCCGATTATTACTAAAGGAAGTGTAACATCCCTACTGAAAATTCCTGTACAAGATCTTGTACAGGATCTTGTACAGGATCAGCAACTGAACTTGTACAGGATCTTATCAGTTCCTGTACAAGAAAATGCATAACGATTTGGAACAAGATCTTGTATAGGATCTTGTACAGGATCTGGTACAAGAAAATAATCTTGTACTGGAAAATGTGCAATTTCCTGAGTCATGTAATCAATAATGAAAGTTCATGTGCAAGTTCCTGTACATGTTCCGTTATACCTCCAAAATGAAGGGGATACACTTGTTCCAGAAAATGCTCAATTTCTTGAACGTGATCACGGTAGTTTCTTAGGCACAATTTTGAAAGGGTGTTCATGAACATGTTCCCGTACAAGTTCATGTACTGGATCTGGTGTAGTTTAATGCGGAAAATTTCTCCCATGCAAGATCCCCTACAAGAAATTGTGCAAGAACATTTACTGAGGCTGGGAGGAAAATTTTCTTATCCGGTACTTGTACAAGATCCTGTACAAGATTACATATTATTTCAGCATTATGGAATTTTCCTTTTGATATTTCCTGTATGGTTTCCTGTACGTTATCCTGTACATGAACTTGTGCTGTTTCCTATACAAGATCATGTACAGTTTCTTATATTAATATTTTGATATTGGGAAAGTAAATTTGTTAATTTTTTTGACTAATTTTTAGCAAAAGTTATCCCTATTTTTTGAAAACTTTTTATTGTTCTTCAAATACAATCAACATTCACAATTTTTAATATTCTGGATAATTTTACAAATTATATATATTTTTTGTAAATAAAAGAAACTTCAATAACTTTCAATGAAAAGATTGCTTAAAATTAAAAAATCGCGATATTTTATTAAAAAATTTGGTCCTCAAAAGGTTAAGTAATTCGTTAAACATACATCCATTCTACAGAGCACTTTCACACTTTCACTTTACATGTCTAAGCTATAAATGCATTTGATACTATACTTTGCATGAGAAAATTAGTTTTTATTTTATTTTTTTAATTATTGATTGAATTGATTTTAATATGTTTAATAATTTTTCAGTAGTACAGTTAATACTCATTTGAAAATTTAAATATTTAATTAAAAAAGCGAAAGGCTATAAAAAGAATATGATCGATATAGTACATATATTCATAAATTCTTCCAATATATTTGTTAGTGTTAAACGCAACAATGCGTAAGGTTTTACTAATTGAAATATAAAACATAAATTTCCTTTCTACAAATATTAGAACGAAATAAAATATTTTGCAGTAGTACGTTATATTAGGTGTTATCAAAATCGTTTCATTTTTTCAATTCCATAATAACAAAATATTTATACATTTCAAAAACGACATTGATGTAGAATTTAAAGTTATGAAAATTTTGACAATATATGCTCTTATTTTCAGGTGCTTTAGTTATCTTCTATTAAAGTCTAAGAATGTGCTTCTAAAATGTTTCAGAAGTATATTTAAAAACTATTAATTTTTTTAATTATCGCAAAATAAATAAACAAGTGTGAGCAATTTGACACAGCTAACTCAGATACTTTATTTGTGCACTAAATTGATGGAGTTTGAGTAAATAAAATGCTAAGATAAATGATAAGAACTTTTAGCTTGATTGAACTAATAATTAATTTAATATGAAAGTAAATTTGGTACGGCACAAAGATATTTTTCAGTATCTACATTAATGCAAACACTTATTGCTCTAATATCTGCGACAGATGCAGCAAACCTGGTATCGTCGATTTTTATGACCATTTGAAATCTCGAATGATTATTCACGAATGCGTTCCTTGTCTCAATTCGATTTAATAAGACAAACTGTTTTTGTTTGGTTTCATCTACTATGAATTTCACTATATGAGCATACTTATTACTTCGAAGCAATACATATGTGTTATCGGAACGCTTGTTAATCTTATCGTTTGACAAATAAAGACAACCATCTTTGACCATTTTGGAAAAATAAACAGCTTTTTCCGATAAACCTAATGCATTTATCCATAACTTATTTACCTTAGAAGAAGTTCCAAAAAATCGAGCTTTAGATAACCTTACAGACTTTTGCACTTTTGTATTACCCAATTGATTGTAAAAATGTTTTGCTTGTAATGAACAAGTAGGATAGACTGCTCTTTTAACTAGAATTGAACTAAAATTAAGAGAAATGTGTCGAGCAACTTGTAAGTGAACCCCTTTCGCAGCGTGAATAATTTTCAGAAACTGTCTATTGCCGTCTTCAAATCCATAAGCCGAATGTGCAATAAGTGGACCCCAGTTCGAAACACTTGTGCCTAAGTGCAATAATAGATGCACATTAAATGTCATTGCGTATGCCGAATATATTTCTTCAACTTGAGATACAAATATGTGCAACAATTCATCAGCATGATCAAGCTCCGTTATTGATATTTTTGATTGGAGAAGAATATATAAAGCTTCCACAAGAAGTATCCAATGCGATACAAACTTATTTGGGAGAAATTGCGAAATTATTGGTAAACTATAATAAAGTATCCAATTCTCCCACTCTCTAGCTTTCCAATGTTCTCTATCTTTGATAGTGCGTGTAAGACGACCAATTTGGAAAGGAACTTTCATATTACGCATTTGTAAATCAATATCATTAATATTGTTTTTCGAAAGCAATTCGGAAACTTTCCCTTTTGATCCAAACCAAATATTAGCGAATTGTTTTCCAATGCCGCTAATAATATGCATTGGTTGTGGAATAAAGCCTTCAATAATATTAAATTTACTAAGATTTATTAGAACAGATGGCTTTTGAACTCCGAAACAAGGTTTCGACTTAGTTCCTTTCCTCATATGATCAATCATGTTGGTAGCGTTACGCCTACTTATAGGAGTGTCCGATAAAGGATATTTATAACTACCAGAATTTGGCTTTTTATCATTACATACCCATTTTCCTTTATGAAGGCACCAGTTACAACCAAATTCACCATTAAATTGGTTTACACCTTGCATTGGCGCTCTAGCAACAGACAATTGGAAAAACTTTTATCATGAGTTTTTTATTATTTATGTTGCAAGGTATTCCTTCTTGTGAAAGTTTGTTCATGTTTTTTACAAACGGATCGAGAAACACATTCATATCTGGTTTCGATTTCCCAAACCATAATCCGGCAACGATTAATTCCGTTGTCCTAATTTGAAGTGGTACTTCATTGACTTGTAGAAAGATGGGCCAAATAGAATACGTCGAACTTTCATAAAGAGGAGCACCATCTGTGTTAAAAACCAAAGTACAATACTGATGTCTGTCGGAAGGCGATAGACCATTCAAAAACTTTTGATATAGCCGACCATCGTAAATATCTTCCATGATATTTGGATTGTGAACTCTATCATTCATGATATGATTATAGTAATCGCTATTTTGTGAAATCAACTCAGAAATTTGCAAAGAAACATCAAAGTACACAAAAAAATCATCATAAGATGAATTTTTTACATCAATGTTATCGTTACATAAGTTACACTTCAGACATTTTTGGTTACGTTCAAATGTTCCAAGATAAATGCCACAATTTGGACACATACCATGGAAAGTGGCGTTTTTTGATGGATTGAATAAAGTGTCTATTAGGTAACGAGTAGCAGGTAAAATTGGAAACTCAAATAAGGAATTAATCAGTTGAAATAAACTGACCACAGCAGTTTGTGAAAGTGAGAAGATGATACAAAATTTCAAAATCATCATTAGTAATTCTCCTTTTGTTTTGTTTACTGCTGTACTTAACACTTGATAAAAATCTTCATTATTTATGACATTTTGTAGTTTTTGAAAATGTGATGCTTCTTCACCTGATGCTTCCATACATGCTGCTGCGTCATCAAAGTATTCCGAGTTGTATAAAAACTCTTCCATCTCTTGTAACTGAATATTACTATTCTGAAACATTTGATAATTCAAAAAAAAATATAAATATAAAAATAATTTTTAGATAGATAGAATTATTATAAAATACCTTTTAAATAATATGAAATTATAGTAATTGAAAAATTTTAAATTGTATTTTGAAATTTAGAATTTTGTGAACAGTTGAAAATATTTAAAAAATCTAAACTAAAAAAATATTTTTCAATTATAATTTATTAAAACATTGTTGGTAATTACGATAAATTTAAGTTTTTCTGAAATAATCTATATAAATAAAATCAGACTTTGTCTTTACATTGCATAGAATTTGTAAATTCATTTTTAATTTTTCGTTTTGAGTAATAAGAAATCCAAAAATGTTTCATGTGACACTACCTGTATAATTTTTTCATATAAATTCAACCAATTTTCACAATAAAATTGAAATATAAATAATGAATCCGCATTTTTAAACCAAAATCATATTTTTGATTTTTGAAAAATTGTTTAATTAATTTATTTTTTGTTTCAATTTTGTTCCAAGTTTTATGAAGTTTGTGTTGCAATTTATTGACGTTTTAAAATTTTAAATTATATTTCATTACAATTATATTATAAACAAATTTGCAGTGATAAAAATGTCTATTAAAAATTTTCTAAAATCAATTATCGTGAGTTTATAAACAATTTTTATTTTGATATTTTGAGGTTTTGAATTTTAAATTCCATCCATTTATAATATATACAGGGTGATTTTTATGTTCCAGACCCCTAAAATATCTTGAAAGGAAATAATTTTAGAGAAAAATGTTTCATACAAAAGTTGTCAGTTTAAAAAAAATCTATTAGTTTTTATAATTAAAAATCGGGCCCAGGCCCTTAAATCACTCGAACGTGTCCTTTTTTCCACTAACCAAGCAATATGATTAACTAAAAAATTCTTTATAATTATTGAATAATTAAAAAAATTACTACTTTCATTTGCATCTGCAGTGTATGATACACAATTTACTAAAAGTGACTCAAGTACTTGTATTCGGTCCCCTATTTTACGTCTTTAAAAACTTATTTCCAATTCGTAATCAGGGACCTCGGGAACCTCTTGAAACTAAGTCACACTAAAATCACCTCTAAAACCACAAAATCTAATTTTGGTCATTATAAGTTCCAAACAATAAAACTTCTAAAAATCTATCAATCTTTTTTTTACCTCAAAGCTTATAATACTAAATTTAAAACTGTGTAAAAGTAATGTTAAATTAACAATCAGAAGGATTAGTAGAATAAAAATAAAAAGTTTCATAATCTTCCTTAATTTTTGTTATCATTTTTAATCAGTCATTTTGTGTCTGATATTTTACATTTTTAAAAACTGATTTCAGATTCGTAATCAGGGACCACAAAAGTCCCTTGGATTTAAGTTACACTAAAATGAGTTTTAAAACAACTGAAAATCTAGTTTTGGGCCTTATAAGCCGCTAAATATTAAAATTTGTAAAAATCTAATTTTTTTACCCCAAGGTTCATGATACTAAATTAATAGCTTTAATTAACAATTATAAGGCTAAATAAGTTTAAAATAATGAGTTTCATAATATTCCTTAATTTTTTCATTTTTAATCAATCATTTCGGGTCCGCTACTGTAAAGTTTTAAAAACTTGTTTCAGATTCGGAATCTGGGACCACAAAAACCCCATAGAACTAAGTTACACTATAATAACCTTTTAACCACAAAAAATCGATTTTTCGGCCCGAATTTAACTTTGGGCCCAAAAGTTACCACATGTCTGAAAAGAGAAAATCACTGGCTACAAGAATCTGAGTTTGAAAATACTTGGTTCCATTTAGAGTACTTACTTTTTTATCTGTAGGGCCCACATAAGGCCATGGGCCCAATTTTTAATTATAAAAACTAATAGATTTTTTAACCTGACTACCTGACAACTTTTGTATGAAATATTTTTCTTTAAAATTATTTCCATTCAAGATATTTTGGGGGTCCGGAACATAAAAATCACCCTGTATATTATGTTCAATAGAAAAGCTAGAGTAAAATTATCTGTAAAATTGAAAGACTTCAAAGTGCATTGTAATATGGAATGGCCTCACGGTGTCATTAGGACAAGTTTGGAATTTTTTTATAAAAAAATTTTACATTATAAATTAAAATCTTTCGAATTTTAGAAATGTTTGAAGTCACACTTTAATCACATTACTTGAGGCTTCAGAATTAATGTTTAGCTATTCACAAATAAAAAATTACTGTATCTGCCGATTTATGTTGAATAAAATCGGACAAGTGCGAGTTACACTCGCACTGAAATCGAGGGTTCCGTACTCGAAGCGAACTTATTTGGTATAAAAACAAATGTTTAAAAAATATGTGTTGTATGACAACTAATATAAGTGATACAAAAAGGAACAATTTTGTAAAATTCAAGAAAATTGTTCCTCTTCGTATCACTTATATTAGTTGTCATACAACACATATTTTTTAAACATTTGTTTTTATACCAAATAAGTTCGCTTCGAGTACGGAACCCTCGATTTCAGTGCGAGTGTAACTCGCACTTGTCCGATTTTATTTTTTAAAAAATATTTTACTAAAAAAATATAAGAAACATAATTTTATTTCAACTCGCAATATTTTTATTGTATTTACATTTTAAAAATATATTGAATATTAAATTTTATCTTTCTAAGTCAAAAAGAGATAAAACTTAAGATATTGATATAAGGCTAGTAGCTGCTTGTCAAGGAAAAATCGAAAGTTATCTAAAAAATAAAATTTGTTTATTAATTCCAGAAAAATCAACTCCAATCATCCTCGCTATATTTTTTTTTGTAATCTACACGTAAAAATACGTCAAAATATATAAATTTGAATCATTGTAGAAAAACTTTTTTCATTTTTTGCGGAAAAATACATTTTTTTCTGAAATTTATCATTTTTCTTCAAAAATTTGATAAAAATTGATCATCAACTCCAATCGCGCTTACATTTTTTCCCTGTATTTTTCACGCAAAAATTGAGTTTTACAGCAAGTATGAACAGTCTGGATTGAATATTGTGTGCGCTAGGGAGAATAAATCATTTTTTTCGAAATTTTTGATTTTTCCTTGGCAACGCTATGTAAATTAATCCGAATCAAGTTCGCTATAATTTTCCTGTAATTTTCACGTAAAAATACGTAAGTGTGTCAAATTTGAGCTCTTTATGTCAAAAGATGTGGCCGCTAGGGGGGGGTACATACTCATTTTTAGGTATTTTTCGTAAAAATTCATGGTTTTTCCTTGACAACGCTATAATAATCAACTCCAATCATGCTCGCTATATTTTTTTTGTAATCTACACATAAAAATACGTTAAAATATATAAATTTAATTTCCTTTAAATAAAATTTTGTTCGTTTTTGGTGGAAAAATACATTTTTTTCCTAAAATTGTCATTTTTTCTTGAAAAACTTGATAAAAAGTTAATCATCAACTCTAATCGTGACCGCTTTTTTTCCCCTGTATTTTTCCCGTAAAAATACATTTGTATACTAAATATGATCTGTCTGGGTTGAATATTGTGTGCGCTAGGGAGAATAAATTATTTTTTTCGAAATTTTTGATTTTTCCTTGACAACGCTATGTAAATTGATCCGAATCAAGTTCGCTATAATTTTCCTGTAATTTTCACGTAAAAATACGTAAGTGTGTCAAATTTGAGCTCTTTATGTCAAAAGATGTGGCCGCTAGGGGGGGGGTACATAGTCATTTTTAGGCATTTTTCGTAAAAATTCATGGTTTTTCCTTGACAACGCTATGTTAATCAATTCCAATCAAGTTCGCTATAATTTTCCTGTAATCTACACGCGAAAATACATATGTGTACTAATTTTCAGCCCTCCAGATAAATTTATGTGGCCGCTAGGGGGGGGGTACACGATTTCAAAAAAACCGATATTAATAGGGTTCCGAACCGAGTACGGAACCCTAAAAATGGTGAAAAATGATCAGCGATAAAAATGGAATTGTCTAACATAAATTTTGACAAAAATTAAATGTCATTGTCAAATTCATGAATGCGTGAAAACTTTATTTTAAACAAACATGCTTTTATTACCTCAAAGGAAATTCTGCTAATATTTAAATGTTCCTCTTCATTGTCCACGTATTCAGAGAATGCATCATAATAAGTTTCTGTCGTTAAATGTTGATAATCTTCCTGACTTTCCAACAATGCCTGTTGAAACTCATTCTCCACATGTACTATTTCTTGATGAGGCAAATCATCCAGCTTCTCTATTTCCATTGGAATAGCTGCACATTCTTCATTTAAGTCTTCTTGAAAACCCTTTACGCTGAATGTTGTGTGTTTTTGAGGATTGATGATCTAAACAGGAATATCGTTTATAAATTTTATTATTATTTTGAGATTCAAATAATTAGATGCTGAACTTTGACGAGTTTTATAAATGTAAAATAAAATGTTTCTTATAAATTACCTCTTCATTAGGTTCATCAGGTATTTCTTCAACATCTGCGTTTAGATGTTTCCTTTTAAACTGTGTAGTCCTTGGTACATCAGTATCAGTTTCAAATAGGTAACCTTTATATTTGGAGGGCCTCCTCGCCATGCTTCTAAAAAATTGTTTCTAATTAAACCATAATTGTCTTGTGCTAACGATAATGATATTCATTCGTGTCACAGTACCTACCCAAAAATTATTAATTAAAATCAAAAACAATATTTTCAAAATCATTAGTCAAGACTGTTTCCAGTGGGCACAGGGACGTCTTAAAGACTTCTTTTTATCTGCGAACATAAGGGGCCAATGGTTTAAAAACATCATAAAGACAACAGAAAGACATCAATATAAGATATCTTAAAATTATGCTTAAAATTATAATTAAATTAATTATAAAAATTAATTATCCTTTGTATCTTACGGGTCAATTAATTATATGGATATAATTTCAATTTTTCAATGTTATATTTAATTATGAATACCCGTAGAAATAATATTAGAATATATGCACATATTTTTATTGGTGATATTTATGTAATTTTGTTTTAGATATTTGTAATAATAATAATATGTGCATATATGACATTTCAAGAATAAAGCATTGCGCTATAAGCACCTCAGCCGTTAAAAACAGGTATGAAGTTCTTCAAAGTTGACGATCTCACTTGTGAATGAAATGAATATAACTTAGAAACATTCCAATAGCTTTTGTCTTCTGTAGTTTCTAAGTCAAAGTTGAACTCAACAAATATTCTGTTTATAAAAATTTGTCTCATTTCAAAGTTTGAGTGTCTTTCAGACATCTTAAAGAAATCTAATGGCCAAGAGATAGAATATTTTTAGCACGCCTAAAAGACATCTTTTGTCAAAGTCCAAAAATAGGCGACCGCAAAAAGACATCCTTAAGACATCTTTCTAACAAGTGTGACCACTGAGTTTAAGCACTCCACTTTTTATTGAATAAAATCATGAGCCGAAAGTTCTGAACGTTCATATGAACGAAATATTTTTTTCAATCTATAAATTATTAAAAATTATAATGACCATGTAAAATAAAACAGTAAATTAAACAATTATTAAATTAATAACTTCTTTTTAGATATTTTAAACAAAATTTTGTAATAAAATTCGTACTTAAAGAAGTAGAAAAACAAATTTCGTTCATATGAACGTTCAAAACTTTTGGCTCATATAAAATCATTAAAAGGTAAAATGTTTAAATTCTCTACATGAGGTAATTTTCTCAATTTTATACTTGGAAACTTGAAAACCTTTTGGTTTTTAAACAACTCTGCTTTAAAAAAATTTTATTTTTCAAGATAAAAAAATTTTCTAGGGGACAACACTTATACGAATTTCGATCGTAGAGCTGGTTCTTCGATCCGAAGCCTTAATTTGATATTTTTTTATCTGCTTTTTCCTCAATTATAAAATTCTCATGGCGAACGAAAAAAAAATAAATTTCAAATGCGTCTTGCCCGTTTCAAAAGTAAAAAAAATAGTAAGCTAATATTTTTTTCAACACTTTACATATTATTTACCTCAAAGTTGTCAAAACATTTTTCTGAAATGTAAAGTATATAGATAAACACAAAAAAATTATCAAATTGAACAAATAACACAATAACAAATAATAAAATAAATAAATAGAATAAATCTAATATATATGCACGTGGGAAGCAAATTGGCTGCCATAGAATCAGTATATTCTATGTTTTATATTTACTTACCTTTTTATATCAGAAGAAAAAATTCATAAAATTTTATTTTGCAACCTCTATCACTCGCACTTATTTTGGTAGAATACAAAAAACCTAAAACTAGGAAGATGTATGTCGCAATGATACTCAGGTAACAAAGGTTTAAAACGGTTTTTCGACCGTTTGAAAGTTAACAATAAAAATAACCAGGGGTTATAAAGCTCCAAGGAAAGAAGAACACTGAACAGAATCATTACGACCTAAAGGTGAGTTCAGAATGCTTATGTTCTCCTCAACTAAACGTAAAGGTGCTTTTATACCTCAAATTTCGATCAGATGAACATTATTTCTGGACCGTGAAAATGCGTGAAAAGTCATTTTCACGGCGGGTATTTTTGAATTGTTTTAAACAAAAAATGTTTTTTTAAGAAATATAATATTAAATAATTGTTTAAATATGTAAAAACACTTTAAAATAGTGATAGAAAGATGATTTGATTGAAAAATTTAGCAAATTTTGCTTTAAAACGTTTTCTGCTACAAGAAAGTGTAAAATGACGATGTTTGTGAAATGGTTTGTACAGTGCTTCTTCCTTGTGAGTGTCTCTCAGAGTTTTGTTTATGTTTTATCGGTTCTTTTTATCTTGTAATAAATAATGAGTGCTGAAAATAAATCGGTAAGTTGAAATGTTTATTAAATAAATTTAAATTCAACTAATTGTTTCGAAAATTAATTATAATTACTTATGAAAATCATAAGTAATTATAAAACTTGACATTTAAAAACACAAAAAGTACGTGAATAAATTTGAGGTTATAAATCAATTTTCCACTCATCTCTGAAATACTTTCTGTATAAATTAAGTTTCGTTCAGTTATTCGAAACAATTGGTTGAATTTAAATTTATTTAATAAACATTTCAACTTACCGATTTATTTTCAGCACTCATTATTTATTACAAGTTAAAAGGAACCGACAAAACGTAAACAAAACTCTGAGAGACACTCACAAGGAAGAAGCACTGTACAAACCATTTCACAAACATCGTCATTTTACACTTTCTTGTAGCAGAAAACGTTTTAAAGCAAAATTTGCTAAATTTTTCAATCAAATCATCTTTCTATCACTATTTTAAAGTGTTTTTACATATTTAAACAATTATTTAATATTATATTTCTTAAAAAAACATTTTTTGTTTAAAACAATTCAAAAATACCCGCCTTGAAAATGATTTTTCACGCATTTTCACGGTCCAGAAATAATGTTCATCTGATCGAAATTTGAGGTATAAAAGCACCTTAAGATCATAGCAAATGCAGATTGCACAGGCTGTGTCTACATGACTGCGTTCAAACGCTGCGTATTTCGTTCAATAATGAGAGAGAGAGAAGATAGACATATACTTCTATCCTTATTACACTTACTGTTCAACGAAAAACGCAGCGTTTAAATGCAAATAATGTGTATACGCAGCCTCAGACAGGTAATGGAGTTTCTACAATAAGTACAAGTGCAAATTGTTTGTGTTTGGGTGCGCGCGCATCATGTTGACTTTTATTTTTTTTAAGATAATTGATAATAAATAGTAATTAATTAATAATAATTTATAAAATAATTAACTAATAATGAGTAATTACCATCAATAATCTTTAAAAAATAAAAGTCAACATAATACGCGCGCACCCAAACACAAACAATTTGCACTTGTACTTGGACTTGCTCTTGTACTTATTATAGAAGCTCCATTAAGAACTTCCTCCAATATGCTCAGGCGATTCTTAAATGGGCGCAAAAGAGAAGTGCAAGTCCAAGTACAAATCCCACGATAGCAAAAGGTGATAATGATGAATGATCTATCTCTTTTGCTTCCATGGGATTTGCACTTGGACTTGCACTTCTCTTTTGCGCCTATTCTGGAACCGCCTTGAGTGCAAAAGAGAAGTGCAAGTACAAGTGCTAGCGGCTTGTACTTGGTTACGCGCGCATCGATTGACATAATTAATTACTTGAAATTAATTAATATTAATTAGTAATTAATTATCAAACAATCGTTTAATAATAAGTCAATACAATTAATTAAATTTCCATGCGTGGTGCCAGACCGCGGACGCAAATCGCCCTCACTCTAGCGGCAAACTTACTCCTTCCGTTTCAACCGCAGCAGAAGGGTCACGAAGTAGTAGAAGGAGACCCCACTATGCAGAATAGAAATGTCACGGTTTTCCAATTCTCTTTGAATTTGTTGGGTTAGTGATACTAGCGAATCTGCAGTGAAAAGTCATCAAACAATGAAATTGTGGCCTGTTAGTGTTGGCGATACTTGCGAACCAATATCGAAAACTTTTAAATATTAAAATTATCATCTGCTACGAGTCTGCTTACTATTAAAATGTAAGAGGCGCAATACATTTTCGGACATTTTCAATCACAGTTGCAGCGCTTTTCCCTAGAGGTAGCGCCAACTTCACTAACCCAACACGCCGAAAGAGAATTGGAAAACCTACGCATTCAGACCTCTTCAGCCTGCCTGCCAGCAGAAAGACGGGGCAAGGGGGTCACATGTGTGTAAGTGAGAAAGAGAATTCAAATTCAAATTTTTTTCTCGCTTACACTCATGCGACCCCCTTGCCCCGTCTTTTTGCAGGCAGGCAGGCTGCAGAGGTCTGATTGCGCCTTTATATTCAGATTCCCTATGCAGTGGGGTCTCCTTACACTACTTCGTGACAAGGGTCATACAAGTTGTAGGTTATGATAAAATTCTACAATAATATTGCTAAAAATCAATTGTACATTTATACTGAGTGTACCCATGCTATAAACATATCTAAGAAATTCTTGAAAATAATGCATATAATAAAATAGATTCTTAAACTTTGAAATGATTCAAATCTTCTGCATGTTTTGAATATTTTTCCTGCTACTATCGACAGTCAACGCTCTGAACTTCAGCTCCAAGTAAAATGACGGATCAAGGTGCAGTCCCATGATAGTGTGAAACGGAAAACGTTTAGCCAATAAGAAATGTCTATTAGAATGATTTCCATTGAATCAGAAGTTGCTATTGGCTAAACGTTTTTCGTTTCCCGTTTTTACGCAGACATGGGACTGGCCCTTCAGTGATCACAAAATTAGAGCACGAGATGTAAGGATACAGTCACATGAAGCAGATTAGCGGATTTGCAGATTAGACGTTGACCAATCAGAAGGCAGTCTCTTACGGTAGATTAAAATTTGCCGTAAGAACTTAAGTTTCGATTGGCTAAAATCTATTCTGCTAATCCGTTAATCTGCTCCATGTGACTGCAACCTAAGTGAACGCAACTATTTTTAGTGAACTATACAAGTAACCAAAACTGAACACAACCTTCTGGTACAATTTTACCATAACCTATAGCAAGTTGCACACTTGTGTTTTGGTTGAAGCAGCACGACCAATAAAAAGCTAGAGTTACATAAAGAACCTTTCAAATTAATTGAGAACCCCTTCGCACATAGAGCGTACTCCGAGAGCGAATATCGGAAACACCCATTCTCTTCTGTCTATAGCAGGCTTCACAGTGATTCCCCTATTTTCCCTCTATTTCAAAAAATTCCCTTTTTTTCCCCTTTTTAAACTTATTTCACCTCCCAAGCGGCACTATTCTCGTTTTGATAGCATCAAGTTACCTTTTTGGTAATGTAAATTGTTAACATAAAGATATCAAAATGAAATGATCGAAAAATTAACTTTAAAAAGTTTAAAAGTTGTTTATTTGCGATTAAAACAGCTGCACTAGCGCCACAGTTGAACTAACTTAAGCGTGACTCGCTCTGTAGCACTCCATGTGTTTTAAATTATTTTTTTTTATTTAACGCTTAAAAATTATTTTACAAACGCAATAAAAATATCAAAATAATTAAATAATTTGAAATAAACTGTAAAAACAGAGACTGCTTTAGAGCTAGTCACGCTTACGTTAGTTCAACTGTGGCGCTAGTGTAGCTGTTTGAATCGCCAATAACATTTAGATAACTTTCCGTGTATAACATTATGTTAACTTCGAATAGTTAAAATAATGTTATCAAAAATTGTATAACATCGTGTTAACTTAAGAGAAGTTAACAAAATGTTATCAATAAATCGTGGAATAAATGGTAATTGGAAAATGTCATCTTTTTAATTACTATTGGACTATACAAAAATGTTGACTTTAAAGAAGTTATCTTATAGATAACCGTCAATAGTTGTCAATATTCATATATATTTTTAATAACATTTAGTTAACTTTATAACATCTCAAATTGTTATCAAGATTAAGATAACAACTTTTAAACTTTTTAAAGTTAATTTTTCGATCATTTCATTTTGATATCTTTATGTTAACAATTTACATTACCAAAAAGGTAACTTGATGCTATCAAAACGAGAATAGTGCCGCTTGGGAGGTGAAATAAGTTTAAAAAGGGGAAAAAAAGGGAATTTTTTGAAATAGAGGGAAAATAGGGGAATCACTGTGAAGCCTGCTATAGACAGAAGAGAATGGGTGTTTCCGATATTCGCTCTCGGAGTACGCTCTATGTGCGAAGGGGTTCTCAATTAATTTGAAAGGTTCTTTATGTAACTCTAGCTTTTTATTGGTCGTGCTGCTTCAACCAAAACACAAGTGTGCAACTTGCTATAGGTTATGGTAAAATTGTACCAGAAGGTTGTGTTCAGTTTTGGTTACTTGTATAGTTCACTAAAAATAGTTGCGTTCACTTACATATCGTGCTCTAATTTTGTGATCCGTCATTTTACTTGGAGCTGAAGTTCAGAGCGTTGACTGTCGATAGCAACGGGAAAAATATTCAAAACATGGCAGTAGATTTGAATCATTTAAAAGTTTAAGAGTCTATTTTATTATATGCATTATTTTCAAGAATTTCTTAGATATGTTTATAGCGTGGATACACTCAGTATAAATGTACAATTGATTTTTAGCAATATTATCGTAGAATTTTATCATAACCTACATCTTGTATGACACTTGTGCTATGTGGTTGAAACAGCTCGACCAATAATGGTACAATTATAGCTCGGCTGCCTGCATTGGAGTGAAGGAGATAGACAATTAAAGTAAAAGAGAAAGAAAATATTTTTGTCCTCCTTTCTTGCATTGCTGCCTGCGCAGGCAGCTGAGCTGTGACTGTACCATAAAAAGCCACAGTT